ACCTAATTTTGCTTTCTTAACAATACGTGTTATGTATTGGAAAACCTTGTGTCCTTTTTCTTAAATTTGTTTTTCTTGTAAACACATTCCACTTAATTATCAAGTAAAATATTAGCCTTTAGGAAAAATGGCTGCTAGCAAGCTAATATTTTTTTAGCATCATTATTTAATATAAATATTTAATGTTTATTATGATTGTTATGGGGGTTTATTTATTATTAAGTATCTGTTAATTATTGTTAATGCTATGTTAATCAAATATATTTAATTATAATTAATATCCTGGCATGATTTTAGTGGGGAGTTTTTCACTGGTTTATTGTTTTTATGGGATTTTGTTTAATTTTATTTTAAAGGATTATTTTTAAATTCCAAGGATTCTGAGGAAATATGGAAAATACTGTTGGCGAACAGTAGTTTTGCAAGTAGTCTCTTTGTGGCAAATAAAATCCACTTGAGTATAAGGATTTTAATTTTTGTGGTGTAAATCTAGATAAAAGGTATCAGATTTCTGATTTCTTTGAAAGTATTAATAGAAATGTTAATGAACTTTTTATGCACTTCTTTTAATGATGTTTCAGTGGCATATTAATGTTTTTCTTTCACTACATTAGTAAATGAGAATTACAGTTTAATAATATATGATCTTTCTAGTAGAATAAGACGAGAAATTAGTTCATAAAACTCAGAAAATATTAACTGAACTGACCTCTGTGAAGCTGGAAAACAGTTTTGAAATAATGATTTGGTCCCATTTTACTCCAGTCACCTACTGAATTATTACCACCATTCATTGTGCAGGCAGTGCTGCACATGTCTGTGTTGATACAGATTAGGGACTGGAAGTAACTGATCACTTATATCTTAAGGTTTTCACTGCCATGAATTTCTTTCTCTATTGTTGTTACCTCTGTTGAACTTTACAGATCTGACAAGTTTTATTAATAAAGTGTCCATGTGTGATCTTTCAAATCTTTAGCATGAGATTTGAAAGATTTTTGCAAAAAAAAAAAATTGTTAAAGTAAATATAGAAATCTGCTTATGTGTTGGTTTGCATATTTTCTGCCAATGGACACTCTTGTTATCTTTTTAATGCCTGAATCATTTGTGTTGCAAGTTTATAAGAGTGCATGATTGTAAATAGCAAAAATGATTTTTCTTTTTTTAATCTCAGACACACAAATGCATCCTCAATTACAGAAATCAATCTATACATGTTTTCTCTGACATTTTGTTGGAAAATTATCTCAAGGTGGCATTAGCTATTATTAAATTGCATCAGCCTAATGCATAAATTCACTTGATTGAATTAATGGTTCAGTTACCTGTTGCTTGATTCTATTCTGGGTTTTGAGTATGGCAGTGGTAGGAGTTGTTGCCAATTTTCAACTTTTTCTTCATTAAGAAGATGGAATTAATAACAGCCCCTCTAACAGTGCTTTCTTCTGTAGTAATCAATGTTCTGATCTGCTTTATAATGTAGGAATTCCTGGTACAGGTTCCTAAAAAAAAATGTTCAACTATAGAGAATTACCTGAAAAGAGTCACAGAATCACACAATCAGCTGAGTTGGAGGACACCCACAAAGGACCATTGAGTCCAACTCCTGTCCCTGCACAGGACTATCCCCAAAGTCACACCCTGTGTCTGAGAGAATTGTTTGGACTCTTCTTGAGCTCTGTCAGGCTTGGTGCTGTGACTGCTTCCCTGTGGAGCCTGCTCCAGTGCCCAAACACCCTCTGGGTGAAGAACCTTTCTCTAATATCCAACCTAAACCTCCCCTGACTCAACCTCAGGCCACTCTCTTGGGTCCTGTCACTGGGCACCAAAGAGAGGACATCAGTGCCTGCCCATCCTTTTCCCCTCCAAATGAAGTCAAAACTGCCATGGAGTGTCCCCTCAGTCTCTTCCAGGTTGAACAGCCCGGGTGACCTCAGCTGCTCCTCATATGGCTTCCCCTCAAGGCCCTTCACCATCCTCATTATCTTCTATTGGGCACTCTCTAATAGTTAAATATCTTTCTTCCATCATGACACTGGAAACTGCCCCCAGCAGTCGAGGTGAGGCTGCCTCAGTGCAGAGCAGAGGGCACAATCCCCTCTCTTGCCCAGCTGGTGATGCTGTGCCTGATGCCCCCCAGGACATGGTTGGCCCTTCTGGTCAGGGCATTGCTGACCCACATTCAGCTTGCCATTGACCAGGACTCATTATGCTGTGCTGCTTTCCACCCTTTCATTCCTCCATCTGTCTGTACATCCAGGGTTGCCTCATCCCAGGTGAAGACTCTGGCACTTGCCTTTGGTCAGCTTCATATGGCTGGTGATTTCCCATCTCTCTGGTTTGTTGAGGTCTCTCTGCAGAGCCTCCCTGCCTTCAAGGAAGTCAACAGCTCCTCCCAGTTTTCATCTGTGAAACTCAGGGGAATACAGTTTCTTTCTTTACAGTGTAATATCAAGATTGACACCTTGTAGCTTTGTTTCTAGGTGCCTATTTCAGAAAAGTCCTCAAAGTTTTAGGAGTTCAGTTTGTGAAGTAGTTGCACTCCTAAAATCTATTAAAAATTGAATTTGCAAGTACTCCAAAGTTTTTAATCTCTTATATCAGAATCCATAATGAAAAATAGATGAGAACCTTGGATCTATTTGATATTTGGCAGTGTGTTCAGCCTTTGCTACCCACAGATAATAGTTCCATCTCTTATGGCTGCTTACATTACTCTTAAAGCAGCTTGTTTTAATTGCTTGAAACTCTGCCAAGCTGTAACAGGTTGGGGTGGAATTTTCCACTTGAAGAAAAGGACAATATGGATTCCTCATTTCCTGTATGCTAATGAAGCAGGGGCCTGTGGGAAAAATAGTATGCAATCAAATAATTAAACATTCTGCATTAAAGCATGTGGCTAGGGAGGGGAGTTGAGGGGAGCATACAGCTTGACTTCTGACTTCTTCTGTCTTTTCAACACTTAATGACTTTGTTTTGTGCAGATAATGTTATGTCACTTACTTGTGGGTGCTGACATAGTGAAAAAAATCACATGTGATGTTACTGTCACTGAATTTAATGTTCATGTTCTTTTGGGGTTTTTTACTTGTTTGGATTTTTGGGGTTTTTTTGTTTTTTTTTAATTTAGCCTGGGTGTTTTTGGAGGGAATTGTTCTGTCTTTTTGACCCTAAACAGCAGCAGAATTACTTGAGTGCTTCTATGTGTGTAATCAGATATCCAGACCAATGCATGACTACGAAATGCTATGTAGATCTTTGATTTGGAACAAGTAGGCTTTTTTCCCAAATATGGATGTAAGCCTCTAAATATAGCAGGCTTGTTTGAAAAATGTCTATTTGTTCTTTACAGTCATGTTGGTTTCCCTTAGCCTTGGCTCAGTCAGCATGACTTCTGTCTCTACATCATGCTCATTTTATCTGTGGTCAGAAGTTCGGTCATTTTGCTTGCACCACACCCTAACTCCTGAAACTCGAAACTTAAGTGCCACATTTTCCTGGGATCCTTCTTCTCTGGTGACAAAGACAGAAAAAAAAAAACTGACTTGGCCTTGTCCAATTTTCTATTATGAAGAAAATCTTCCATAACCTCTGTAAGAATTCAAGATAAAGACATAAAGTAGCCCCCGTGCTATGAGTTACTTGTTTTTCCTCTTTGAGAATCTTTTTCTCCACGTTTTGGATGTGTGGTAGTTGGCTTCAATCTTGATTAAAGAACTTTGGTTCGTCTGTCTCCCTGGTACCATCACAGTTACTAATTTCCATGTAATGCAGAACTGGAGGCTATGACTCACCTTGAGGAAGCCTTAGCTGATCTTGGGTCAACTGTAGTCTCTTGGTCCTTCAGTAGTAGCATTTGATAACCTGTAACTTCATAATTTTTGGAAGATACTTAGTCATTTATTAGAAATCGATCAGCTACTGGGAAGATGAAATCCTGAATCTTTAGTGGGCATTTTCAGTGTCACTGACCTAAGCAAGGGCAAGTTTATATCCAGAGTCCTTGTGAAAGAGCTGTGTAAATGCAGTGTTAATCTGAAAGCTGTTATTCTTCACCGTTACATACTTGTTTCATATTGATTGTTTCCAACTTTTGAGAAATTTGTTTGCTTCTTGAAGAAAAAAGACTTTCTTGCTGTGTATGCTAAACTCTTTCTCAAAAACTTCGTAACTACAGTTATCTAACACTAACATATAATATATAATAATATATAATATATAATAAATATATAATATATAATATATAATATATAATATATAATATATAATATATAATACATAATGTATAATAGCTTTCTGACATCCCATTCATATATTGTTCTTCAACATTGCTTGCCTCAGCCTCTCATTGTAAAGTATTTCACTTTAAAAAGCGTCCAGTTTCAGTCATTTTGTATGTGACTTCTTAAGATTAGCAATTTTTAAATAATGGATGCTATGTTTTAGTTTAAACAAGTTGTGGCAGATGATCTAATATAACTACATTCAGAGATTAGGTTTTTTTAATGTCTTGCCCCTCCCTTCAATATACTTTCAGGACTGTTTTCTTAAACTTCCCTAGTTTTTGAAACAAAATTTAGGTCCTTGAATTATTCTGATTAAATGCAAGAATTTTCCATGTTCTCCCTGCTATTCCATGCTTTGCAATGTAGATAGATGGAAAAGAAGTAGGTTTTTTTTGAAGTAGATGAGGTAAAAGTTCTGTTACTTTGAGACTTTTGACTAAAGCTTAGCAGGTGGTGCTCTCTCTGGCAGTTCTATTCCAACAATAGTTTTCATCTCAGCTATGCTATTTCAGCCCTAATGAGGCCTTAACATCATCTCCTCACTCAAGTGTCTCCAAGGCTTTTTGTGTCTCGGTGTGGTTGCAAGTGTTCAAATCACTTCATCTTCTTCTAGATCTCTGCACATTTAAAACATAGAAAAGTACAAGACAAACAAATTATGGAAGCCTTGAGAAATTTGTGGCATTCTCACTGGCATTTGTTTGACCCTGCAGGAGAAGCCTATATGAGGATGAGCCGGCTGCCCGAAGCAGAGCACTGGTATGTGGAGTCACTGCGATCCAAGAGCGACCACATCCCAGCCCATCTCACCTATGGAAAACTGCTGGCTCTCACGGTGAGTTTGTCAGCACCTCCTGGGAAGTGGTCTCAGGTCCTTTGAGTAGGTTAGGTAAAGGAACAGGAAGGCTTAGGCCTGAAAATTGTTTATTGTCTTCTTTGTCACACTGTTTCAGTTCTTCCTTTTAATTAAGGCTTTGACAGCGTTGGTTTTTTTTTTTTTTTTTTGGTGAGACGTTGCATCTATTCTTGAGGTAGTACCAGCTTTGTGCTGGAAGAAAACAGTTCTAATGGCATAGGAACTTTGTAATGCACAATAAGGAGTTCTCTTGAAAAAGCCTTTGTTATAAGTTCTTTGGATGATAAGTAATGGAATTAATTCTGTAAGATATTCAGGGCTTTTGTAGAAGCCTATGAATGGGTGTCACCTATACTTTGTGAATAACATCTCATGCTTTGAATTTGCACTTCTTGAGGAATATCTCTTTGAGCATGTGAAAGGAACTACTCAGCTATTAAGAGCTAGTTCTAAAAAATCAGGAGACTTGGACTTCTTTATTTCTGTAAAATCTACTTAACTTTTGATGCAGGTGTGCTTGTAGCTTTTAACCCTATATGATAGTTACAGCAAAGTGCCAGTCCCTCCTTGATATTGACACATTTTGAAGATGAAAGTAGATTTCCATTTTATTAATTCAAATAATTCTGTTTTAAAACTGTCTTCCTTCCATTTGTTCTTCGCACTATGCACCCACTGTTTACCTTCTTCTGGAATAGAACTACAAATAGGTTGTACAGGAAAATTTCCTTATGTACCTTGCTTTTCTAGGAGATATCTTTGTACCTTGCACCTAAGAGTAATAGCAGAAAGTCAGATTTTTGACACGAAGGTGCTAATTTATTGGAATTGCGTGGGGAAGTGTTGTGGTTTAGGAATAGTATTTCCCAATTTAATGTTCCCACTGTAACACTCCAGACCACACGCTGCTCTGGCACTACTTCCTCCCACTGCAGCAGGCTGGAGAGGAGAATTGGAGACACAAAACGTAAAGATCATGGGCTGAAATAAGAGCAGTTTACTGCAAACAGTAATAAAATAAGAAAACAAATAGTAAGAGCAACAGTATTAATAATAAAGTGTACGAGAGAGGCGAATGATTCAGATGGGAATGCTCTCAACACACAAACCCCTGGCAATACCTGATCCTGCCACCCTGCTCCTTGATCCAGAAGCGACCCCTTTCCTGGGTGGGGAGGCAGTGTAGAACAACCTCTGGGTCCTGGCCATGCCCCCTTCTGGGTACTGCAAAAATTAACCCTGTCCTGGACAGGACAGGAAATAAATCCAAATGTTTGCTACACACACACACCCCTATCCTGGTACTCCTCTAGTTAATTGTTTTGACTACTGGCTGTGTGAAATATGAGGTCTGTTAGGGAAAGTCTTGCAGGGTTCTGGGAAACAAGGTCTCACAGTTTTCTTCAAAAGAACAAAATCCCCAAATCCGAGAAGCGTAGAGATATTCTGAACCACTAATTTATTTTTTTTTTTAATTCTGTCCCCTCATTATGAAAGTGCAGGTATAGGATTAAAGTTTAATGTTATTATCTCAACTTTTAGAAGGAAGCAAGGAAAAATCTGCTTGAGTCCTTACAGTAGAATTGAACTGTTTACATTTGTCTGGGGATGTAAATAGAAGATATGTGTGTGGGGGATTGTGCCCTGAGCATCTGAGCTGTGTTTGTGGAATTATGTGTCTCAGCAAAGAGAAAAACTGTATACAGCTTTGAACACTGAATACTGTACTATGATAGGCAATAAAATACCTTTCCTTTCTCAACAGACACTTGCTTTCCTATACTTGCTCTGTGCCATAAATGTGGTTTATTCTCCTCACATTTGTTTGTTATTATTTCTTGACACTTTTTTTTTGTTATTACTCATGGCAATTATTATTATTCATGGCAATATGTACAATAGGGTTGATGTCCATTCTATTGGCAGCAGTATAAACTGAAAAGATGGTGCTGATGTCCTGTTGACTTTCAGGACTTCATAAACATATAGCAAGGAACATTATGATGACAAAGTATTTACAGATGGCACAATATTTTTCTAACAGTTACTTCATTAATGAAAACTAAATTTCCTTTATCTTTGAGCTATTGAAAATTGACATTAATTCCAGTTAGTTCTTTGAGCTACAGGTCCAAAAAAATATTTGACACAAAAATACATGAAGAGATTTGGCAGTAAAATATATATATGTGGATTTTGTCTCCATTTTCGTCATTTAATCAGTTTTGCAGGTTCCTGTCTGCTCAGTGATTCACAAAATGAATTTTGTCTAGTTTCTGGCATATGGAACTGTCCGAGTATTAGTTCCCATCACAAATACATAATTTCTGTAACTGACATGCTTCCTGGAAGTCTTCATAAACTTCCTTGGGATTTGGATTAGAGGTGCTCCCTTTGGCATAGTTATTTCAGCCCAATCCCAACCTAAGCTACCACTGTGATTTATTCTTCTGTTACACTTTGCTACCTGGGTTAATGATAATTTTCTCACAGCCTGTAAATTTAGGAAAGAGAAAAGCCTACTTCAGTTAGTTTTTGGATATTAGAGATGTGTTAGAGGCTTCTTTGCCATCTTCTGTTGGAATCAAACCTTTGAACTTTTTACAAACCTGTTTCTGAATATAGGTACTGAGACAAAACTGTTAATAACACTTCTCTGTGTGTCTTTTCTAAGAGAGAAATACGAGAGATTAAATAGGAGACTGATGAAGTGAATGTAGGTGCTAATATAGATAGAAAATTTTTCCATCAGTGAAATTGGGGATGTAAGGGAGGAGAGGAGGTGATTTCCAGACAAATTCCTAAACTGCAGCCAAAGGCAATTCTAATATAAAACCCCCTAGCAGTAAACTCGGACCCGTAAAGTTCACAAATTGAACTCTGTTTTACTTCCTTACTTTAATTCCAAAGAAGTTGGCTTAATTTTAACCTCAGCTTTTCTGCCTTCTCAAGTCTGTTGCCAGTATTAATGCTTACTGAAAGCAGCATCACATAGAATTAGAGATTCATTTAGGCTGGAAAAGAGACAAGTAATGCCCAAATGGACTTGGGCATGCTGCTATATATTTGGGAAATTCTAGACCAGCTTAAGAGCTCCAGAGGAATAGCTAATGAATTTACAGTCCTGTTACCTAATATCATAAGTCACAAGAATTTCCTAGCTCCTATATTAGTTCATGTTATATGTTTATATCTAAGAATTACAGCTCACTAGGCTACAATTTTCTTGGAAATATGTTAGGACAGCATAATTTAGTGGTTGCAAATCATGATTAGTAGCTCAGTTACTAGAATAATTGGAAAATAGCCAGTTGTCTGGGGCTTAGGATTGTCCTTGTTTTATGTTTTTGAAACGACGTGTAGCTCTTTAGAACTGTAGTGCTTTAGCATTATGTGATTTTCATACCTTTAACTTGCTAAGCTGCTTAAATTACTTGAGGAATTTATTTTTCAATGTGACATGTTAGTTGACATAGCCAATCTTCTGGTAGCTTCGTACCGCAGCATCTGAGCCTCATCCCCTGCTTAGGTAATTTATTTCTACATTACAAAGAAAAGCATAATTATTAAAAAGGATTTAAAATTGCAAGACTCCTAGCTTTAGGATAAAAATGAGTCTGTCAAAATGTCAGTCCCAGGTGATACCTTAAGCATCTACTGTAATACATTTTCCATTATATGAGCAGACTTTCTAGAAGAGAAGGCACTGGCTGTTATGCTAAAAAAACCATTACAAGTAAGGCTTTTATTTTTTTTTTTCTTCCTCTCACTTTAGTAGTCTTAAAGAGAGGACTAAGAAATCGTCCCTCCTCTAAGGAGGACTAAGAGGACTAAGAAATCGTCTGGCCTCTCTGCCATCAGTCAGTGGTTGGTTGTTACAGTAGCATGCTAGTTTGAGAAGCTTCATTTCAATTAAAAATAAATGTTTTTAAGGGGTTCTTTAATCTGTTTTGAGTGAAGTTGAGCCCACAAATGACCCTGCATAGTTTGCAGTAGTGGCTCTACTTGCTAAAGTACTTAGGGACAACCTTATATTGTAATGTTTAGTGTGTTGCATCTAGGAGTTACAGGCTTTGCTATATTTCTCTGGAAAAAATTGCACAGTGTTTTCTTGCATTTTGCATGGCTCCACACAGTGCTGTTAATCTCCTGTTTTTTACAGGCTTGGAAAATCACCCAAAGTACTGTAAGAAAAATTTACTTTGCCTTGTAAAATTTCAGTGCTGGAGCTCCAACTATTAAATTCAGCAATAATCATCCTAGAAGATTCCTTATAATAGAAAACATTTTATTTTAAAATGTTTTCTTCAAAAGGGGATTGGGAAAAAGCAGTCATAGACATGAGAGAGACAGGCAGTGTTTTGGATTAATATAAAAGTAATATAAATATTAATATAAAAGTAATATAAAAGGATTGTGACATTCAAGTAGCAACATTGAAGTTTAGTACTTTTCTTAAGTTTTGAGATAATTGCTCATTGAATGACCATACTTCTGCCTGCAATTGATTGTTGCTTATGCTTCTGACAAACAGAAGGCCAGTTAGGTATCCTGCCATTTTTACTTAGTGCTGATATTACTCAGTGTTGCTATCAAATACCCTACTGTATTCAGTAATTGGTGCAGCACTTGACTGTCATCTCAAAACAAATATAAATAAATGACAATGTAGAAATAAATGGAAGATAGGAAGAACAGAAAAGAATGAGACAGCAGGGGAAAAGGAGAATGGTGTACAATGAATAGATTAATTCAACATTTACTATTCCTGTAATTACTTGCTGCTGGTGTATCAGCACAGAAAGGAAATTTGCATTTCTGTTGGAAAAATATGTCATATTGTCATCTTTAATGTCACCGGTTCATTACTACTTTTTTTTCTGTCTCTTTAGATTTACACAAATGGGAAGGAAGCAGGAATGAGGGAGAACAGTCATGATGTCAAAAGAATCGTGACTGTCTTTAAGAGATAGCAGTTG